TATTTAGACTACAGGCAGCTCAGTGCAGTGATAATTGTGCATGCACTCATATAGTTTTCTATATGTGCATGCTCTGGGCAGCTGAAATCGGCCAGGGGCTTCACTCATCTGTACAATTTAAGATTGTACTTCAGGCTCCTCTGCAGTGTTTGTTTTTTTAACATATATTTTTATTGGTTTTTTTCTTTTTAGACTTTTACAGTACATATGATTCAATTTCTTACCATTTCCTCCCCTTCCCCTTCCTCCCTCCTCCCTTCCCCATCTTCTTGTTGTCTTTAGTCTTTTGACCCCAGTCATGGGCACAAAGTTTGAATCTTCCACTGAATGTCTTTTCTTCCTTCCTTTGATATTCATTCCAAGTAGGTCTTCCATCTATTCCGAACTTCTGCAGGTTTTTCTTCCCATGTTGTCTCTTTGCGTATAGTTGCCACCAATGTTCCCTTTAAGCTGTGGAGTCTTGTGAGCTACTTTGTGAGCTACTGGCATTAAAGTTGTGAGCGAGCATTTGGCTACAACATCAATTAGTTTGCCCTGGAGCCATCCTTCCTGAGCTGAGGCAAAAATGTGTGAGCTGGAGGCTAAAAAACTGTGAGCTAGCTCACACTAACTCAGCTTAGAGGGAACAGTGGTTGCCACCAGGGTTCCCTCTAAGCTGAGTTAGTGTGAGCTAGCTCAGTTTTTTAGCTTCTAGCTCACACCTTTTTGTCTTGGCTCAGGAAGGAGGGCTCCAGAGCAAACGAATTTATGCTGTAGCCAAATTGCTCACTCACAGCTTTAATGGCAGTAGCTCACAAAGTAGAAGTTTTGCTCACAAAACTCCACAGCTTAGAGGGAACATTGGTAGTGGGCCCCCTGAGAAAAAAACGGGCCCCCTGAGCAAAAAGTTGTTAGCTACGGGCCTGATTGCAGCCACACACTGTCTCGACATTTTCAGTGAGTTATCTACTGCGACTCCAAGATCTCTCTCTTGATCAGTCTCTGCCAGTTCAGACCCCATCAATGTGTATTTATATTTAGGATTTTTGGCACTTGGCCACATTGAACCCCATTTGCCATGTTGACGCCCACTTGCCCGTCCTTGACAGATCCCTTTGGAGTGCCTCACAATCCTCACTGGTTTTCACCACCCGGAACAACTTCGTATCACCCGCAAATTTAGCCACTTCACTGCTTACTCCCAACTCCAAATCATTAATGAACGAGTTAAAAAGCAGTGGACCAAGTCTTCATCCCTGCGGTACCCCACTGCTTACCACCCTCCACTGAGAAAATTGCCCATTTATACTCCCTCTCGGCACCACACTGGCTCTCTGTAGATGTCAGAGTCCCACACAATCAGTAAAGGCAGGTCATCTGTGCATACATTCTGTGTTAGAGTTAACCCAACTGGCGGGAGCAAGGAAGATATACTGCATTCAAAGAGGGTGGTAAGCCAATCAGAGGTGCAAGCCTTGCACGCCTAACCTAATGGGAGCAGGTTCCCAGGCAAAGCGAAGAGCACGAAGCACCAAGGTCAGGCTACTAGATAAGGCTCAGCGGAAGAAGCAAAAGCTAACATTCCAGAACATTAAGACGCTTACTCAGCGGCCTCCACCCCCACCCCCACATACAATGGCAGCGTAGCTGATAGTGGATTGGCTATGGGATTTACCATAGAGTTTCCCACAATTCCTAGAGCTACCTATGTCACTTCTGTTTTTGTACCGGAAGTGATGTGGGCCTGTAGCCGGCATCGTGTTCCCCCCGCAGCCTTGCCCACAGTCCTCCTCCTGTTTGCCTAGCACTTCCTGGCAATCCTACAGAACAAAGATTACCCTGATTGGGCTCAGCCCCAGACGTTTGGGTACCTCTGATGAATTTTATTTATTTCTTTTATTGAACTTATAAATCGCCTACCCCGCAGGGCAGGCTCTGGGCGATCGACAACACTATAAACAGTTAAAAATACAGTCAATATCTAATTAGAGGCTGGACGACCATCTTTCGGGTGTGTCGCAGGGCTATCTTTCGGCTATAAGCTCCTGCAGAGTGCAGGGGGTTGGACTAGATGACCTTCAAGGTCCCTTCCAACTCTGACATTCTATGATTCTATAATTAAAATCACAAATAATAAACATGAAACCAGAACCAATCAGGATGGCGGTAAAAGAGTCATCCATTGCCGGCCACACCGCTGTCCCGCACGGCAGGGAAGGGAAGGGTATGTGGGGGCCAAAGGGGGGGGTGAAGAGAGAAAAGGGTGCCAGTCTTAACCTCCCGTTGCTGCCCTCAGCTAAAAGCCTGGTGGAACATCTCTCTGCCTTACAGGCCCTGCGGAATTGCATCAGATCCCGCAGGGCCCTGAAGTCATTCGGCAGAGAGTTCCGCCAGGTCGGGGCCAGGACCGAAAAGGCCCCGGTCCTAGTCGAGGACAGCCGGACCTCCCTAGGGCCGGGGATCACCAGCAAGCTGTTATCAGCTGATCTCAGCGTTCTTCTGGGGACCTATTGGAGGAGATGGTTCTGATGGCACGTGGGTCCCTGACCGCTCTAAGTGGTGTCTGTATCAACTAATTAACATTGTACTGTATGGTAACTGGCAGGGGAAAGACCACTGAGAGCTGGCCCACCCCTTAACCTACCCCGTCCACCAGGGGGGTTCTACTGTACAAACCCTGTTGAAAGGTTTGAGAGCTTGAAGGTGGGCCATGGTGATGATAGGTCAAATTTCTGTCATCTCTTATACCACTGCCCTTAAGAGCATGCAAAATCTTTCACCCAAGGGAGCCTCTTTCTTTCTTTCTTTCTTTCTTTCTTTCTTTCTTTCTTTCTTTCTTTCTTTCTTTCTTCTTTATTTATTTATTTATTTATTTATACATTCAATTTATATACCGCTCTAACCTTTTTTGGCAGGTCTCTGAGCAGTTTACATACATATTCCAAATTCCCTAACTAGGGCCACATTGTTGATGGGTGGTGTCTGCCTAC